ACGGGTGATGGAAAAAATTACAAGCATGAAGATCTAAACAGAGACTGGTTTATCTACTTTTTTTCTAAGTACTTGTGATTCTAATCGGCAATGGTACTCCGGTTCTCCAGGAGATATGCTTCATTTTCATCTATGAAAAGAAAGATGTGTCAAAAATTTCACGACGTGAGAGTATCCGATTACATCTTAATGGAGAGATTGCCAATCTCGCGGTCTTAGGATTTTTTGCACTCGTACCAGGCTCGAAACGAATGTCAGGCTTACTGTGCCCGTTCTGCAGCACGTAAGTTCCTTGCGGAAGAAACGCTGGCAGAAATCGCGGATTTCACCGCAGGTTCCTCGCATGTGGCATATCTTTTCTCGCGCGCCTCGGGTAAACGAAGGAGAGGCCTACGAAGACCTGGACTTTCGTGAAAGCGAATGTTTTTTTCGCGATGGTGGTGATGGAATGAAAGAAAAAAAGAAAGAGAGACAGAGAGAGGTAAAAAGGACCAGTGATTGCCTCCGGCCTGCTGCTGGGAGGTAGACAGGTATGCGGCAGGTGACTTTACGTTCGCCTGCAGGTAGTGGACGATCCGCGCGAAAGAGGACAACGCTCTCGGCGTGTCTGGCCATTCCGAATCGTACCACTTTGGAAGACCTAGACGACAACGACGACGATAGCGACGGCAGCATACCGGTTAATGGGTCGCTGTACTTCTTTTGTACTTCTACCGTTTCGTACTTCTACCTGTACGTAACTACGTTCACGGAAATGTGCGCTCGTCTTGATTTACGTCAACGCGTCACGACAAGCACATTGGATTTACACATTGAATTAATTACAATCGGGATAATATTATCCCCTTTCGATTTTATAAACATTTCTTTTAGACGTCTTTTTTCCCATGATATAGACTGTGAGATTGCGACAAGCTAGGAAAAGAGGGTAACGATCTCAAACCACTTCCTTAGAATCGTGCCACTTTGCGGACGCGTCATGTAATTACGATCGACGTCGATTAGCGGTTAATAGGCCGGCATCTTAATCGTCCGATTCGCATGTAACTAGATCGCGGTCTTAATTATTTATGTAACAGCTAGCAATGAAACGTAAAAGCAATGTTGATAACAGTTTGATGCTACATTAATTATATGTATACAGGATGTAACTGAAATAACGCCCACTAATCATATTGTGCTATTCCTATAAATAAAAAACTGAGACGAAAAATCCTCTACCATTTTGCAATTTTCGCAATATTTTTTTAGCTGTTCAATGAGCAAAATGTTTAAAATCGACGTATAAGACGGCTTTAAGATATCTTTAAGAATTCTTTAAGAAAAATCTTCAAAATGTTTCACAAAGAACACGGAAAGATATCTCAAAATTGTCTTACATATCGATTTTATCTGTTTATTTGGCAATATTTAGAAATTAATATCTCGTTAACTATTGCGAAAATTGCAAAATGGTACAGAACTTTTCAACTTAGTTTTTTATTAGGAATAGCACTGTATGATTAGTGGGTGTTATTTCAGTTACACCCTGTATACAGTATGTAATCAGCGACGGATAAGCAAAGATTATTATTCAATACTGAGTTGTGAGAGAAATATTTGTTTTCCAATTAGAAACTAGAACTTGTGTAAGAATATAAAAAAGTATAGGATGCATGAATTCGAAATTCTACGAAAGATACACGCACATAGAAAAAACTCTGGTAATAGCTATCAAATGTTAAATAAAATTATTTGAATCAAATGTTCGGTTGATATAATAATAAATGATGTTACTTTTTTAAATATTTAGTAAGTATTATCAAACATAATAATGTAACCAACTATTTGGTCATAATTACTAAATATTTATAAGAAAGTAAAATTATTTTTATTATATTAATCAAACATTTGATTGAAATTATTGTACTTAATATTTGATAGCTTATAAGACTCTTTTCAGCATAAATTTTGTATTTTTTGCCTTTAAAAATAGATAATATCATTACAATATTTATGCACACTGGTCCATCGATACGAAGAAAGTTTTATAACGTTGATTGTCCAGATAAAACGTTCCTTTTGATCGGTCACATCGAAAGTTTGATGAACGAATTCGAGCGAGATCGAGTAATTAGAGAGGCAGCCTGTAATTTTCGTGAGAGAGAGAGAGAGAGAGAGAGAGAGAGAGAGAGAGAGAGAGAGACATGAAAGTTGCCCGAAGTGAAATCTCCATTCCGGCGCGAAATTTTCGACAATCTCGTTGCGAGGGTTAACAACCCTGAGACTTCACGAGGCGTCGAAGCGTGGTATAAAAGTAAGAGGGTGGACAAAGGGGAAAAAGCGTGAGACGGTGAATCATCCACAGGCGCTGGATTATACTTGTTCTTCTCTCTTTAGTCGTAGACGAGAGCGTGACGACGAAGCAAAAGGAGACGGAAAGAACGAGAGATGCTCCGAGGAACAGGTAGTAACGGTACTGCAACTTCAAACCTTATCTCATATACATATATATTCTTTTGAAATAAGTAATTAATATTTTATCTCGTTGATATGGGAAATATTTGCCGTTTATCGTTCTTATCGCACAAGATATGTTCTGAAAAAGTTAAATACAATCATCCGTTTATATACAGGTTATATATAAAATTTACAAACTAACAATAAACAATTAGTATCTCTATATAGTATATGTCTATTACAAATACCACGAATTCTCTTGTGAGTGTTTCCAAAGTCCAGCAAGTGATAAGGTTCTTATTTGTTAATTGAACTATCGTCTTTCTCTTTCTGTGCAATATTTCTTGAGTTAGGAAGACCAAGGTTAATAATTTATTGATAAAAAAACAAACATCACTTTCCAATTTATAATATATACATATGGATTCCATGATTCCTGCCTCTAGATAATTCATTTTAATTGCTTGGTTTTAAGAGGCATGTAAATAAATTTCTTTCATAAATCATGGAAAATTCAATTTTAATACAAAATTATCAATATGCAAGTCTTTCTACGTCAGAAAGTTTAAAAAATGTAAAATGCACTATTTTTTATTGTGCTGTTTATCTAAATGTACAATCACATACATTTTTAATGCTATATTTTTCTATTTATCTATCTACACAATAGATTGCGCGCGAATTATAATAGATTTGATATTATTAAATGTTCGTTTGATCAAAAGTTATTATTTTAAGCCAGATTCAAATAAAGAAAGCAAGTGCGAACAGACATGAATGAACAACTTGAATGAATGTGAACGGCACAGCCACAAATTGCTCATTCTTTTTATTGCACTCACTTGATTTGGATTTGACTTGAAATATAGATATATTTTAGAGAGAAACTGCCATATATATATTTCAGGATCTAGTAAAAATATAGTAAAAAAATAACGTCTTTATATCTTTTGATGTATTTAGTTTTATATACCTCTAAGTGTGTAAAATCTAGTATACACACCAGAGCCATTATTGTCTACGCAGCCAAGTTTTAAAAAGAATTAGGAACATAATGAGATCATTTTTCATATCAGCAATGAGGCCGATAAAGCTTCATCCATTCACATTATTTGCGAACAGCCTATGGCCATGCCAATAGTATTAATAAAAAAGATTGTCACTTCAATATACATATATACATTTTTACTGCGTTATTTTTTAATGGCAGATCCTTTGGATTAATTTATTTAATATTGACACTAAAACTATTTTGATAAATTAGATCTCAACAATGTTGATTAAAATCCTAAATCTAAATTTCTAATTGCTTTTATGTAGTTTAATTTATTTATAATCTTTCTATCAATTAATAATTAATTTCTGTGACAACTATATATATCGAATGTACAGTATATTGCATTGTACAAACAACAAATAATATTAAATATTTTTCTATTATGTGCATTTTAATCACATTTTAATATGTGTAAATTAATAAAATATGCATTAATAAAATATAAATATAATGGTGACAAATAAAACTCATGCAACAAATAAATACAAATCTATTTTATTCGAATAAAATAAAGGTTATAAAGTAAATAAACCAACATCCAGAAGAGTTGAATTACCCATTTGAGAATTACTTAATGAAAAAGGAAAGAAAATCATGTATTTTCTTGATATTTTGCTGAAAATATATTCTTAGAACACAACGCTAAATAAGTGCGACAATAAAATAAGCTGAAAATTAAATAAAATATAAGCGAGAAACTCACTGCCATATAAAAACTTAATATTATAAAGTCAGTGAAATAGAATAACATAATTGCACCTACTATCCTAATTATCGGACGAAACTAATGCTCTATTAGATCCGACCGTATCATGGATTTAAGCTCTAGTTATTGCTTTGTATACACGTGTTTTAAGAAGAAAAGAATATATAACGGGTGGTTACCTATTCGTCGGTAGATAAAAGTTAGTGGTATAATCAATACTTATATACTTATATCGATCAATTATTTTCATTTGTAACTGCATCTTAAAAAGAAATTGTGTATATTTAGCATATATGTATGTATTTTAACAGCTTATATTTAATATTGCTATACAAGAGACACGATAGATCAAATCTCATCCGTTGATATTGTAATTTAGAAACGATTATAGTACTTTTACTCGGAATAATGTTTCAGCGATTATAAAATATAAATTAACTTTTCAACAGCGCGATGTCATCACAGCATTATTCAAAAAATCCTTTTCGGATTTAATCTTGGCAAAATTTGAGTACTTTGAAAAAGAAAATTTTCTATATATAGTAACGTATCATATTTACTATTACTATATATAGTTATATATAATTTTATATTCTTTCTTTTAATGTTAAGTTAATAATATAATAATAATTAATTATAATTGATTCTAAAATATAATCAATTATTATTATTGATTATAATCATATAATAATTAATTAATTATTATTTATTATCATGTATATAATTAATTATTATGTATATTTTTACTCAATAATCGATATGTAACAAAAAATTACTTCAAAATATTATGCACGATGATAAATGTGTTGCGTATAATTTTGATCGTCTTTACAGAACGAAATTTTGATTTTCGTACTTTAACATTATCATTTAGAATAATTTCTGAAAAAATTAATAAAACGTTAAATTTAATAGGCCAATTTAGTTGGACACGACTGGCATGTAAAACTTATGTTTCTGAGTGTCCCTGGTATGTTTGAAAGGCGCCTGTTTGGCTTCCAAAAGAGCAGCTGGACACGGTCCTCTGTGCCTAGGAACGTATTCTCTTTTATACATGCTAGAACTGACAGTACTACCATCACCCAAATTAATGTGAGATGCGTTCGTTTGCCTCTGAACTCTTTCTACTTTTTGAGTACTTTGTGAGAAATTTCCATAGCTTTTTGCCTCGCTTTGTGAATAGAATTTCCCGCCGACACTCAGGTTATCTTGCCGAACGATTCTTTGTGGGCGTTCATAGCTGGAAGAAGCCCAAGGATTGACTTCTTTAGTACTGCGATGCAGCGAAGTCAAACTACGTCTATCGTTACTCTGGCTCGAATTACTGATGTACTGCCCGCTCTCGGCCAGGTTTGAGATACTTTTGCGCTGGTCCGCCGCCGTCGACGAGATCGTGTGAAGAGCCTCGGTGGAAGAAGCTACGCCACGTCGATGGAGTACTGCATTGTTTATGTCAGCCGACGAAGAAGATATCACGTTCTTGCGGTGGTGACTGAACTTCGTGGCTGAGTCTGCGTGTGATCGTTCTACGATTGTTTGCCCGTTGATTGATTGTCGGAATTCCGGGCTGCTTGAATTATATCGCGCCTGAGTGGAGATTGTATGCTGCTCGTGCTGTTTCGTCGCAGATCTTTGTCGAGTTTCCATATGTTGTGCGTTCACATAATCGCGCTTGGTCATTTCCTGATGATGACGCTCGACGTGCTGTTGCTGATGCTGCTGTCTATGGTGCTCGCCGTGTGTAGCGTCGATCGCGTAACGAGATGTATCTTCCGCTCGCACGATTTGCCCTCGATGATTTAGTCCTTCTGTGAATGATCTGTCCTCGATTGATCGACGACTCTGCACGTTCTGCGATCGCAAATGTTGCTCGCTCAAATGAGTTCTTTGATGCTGTTCATGATGCTGATTAGACACTAATTGAGAAGTCGTTTTGCGCGAATCCACGGGTTGTGATCCAGATGGCGAAACATCAATTGGTTGAGAGGTACGACGATCCGTAATATGTTGTGTTTGTTGATGATGAGAAACAGTTTGAGCATTGGCAGCTCTCTGATCTGACTGAGCAGAAGTAGTTGTACGTTTTACGGTCGTAATGACAGTTCCATCTGCTAAAGTTTGCGATTCCATGGTTTTCCTAGTATCAGATTCCATCTGACTCATTTTAGCAGCTATATCCTTTCCTGTACGTTTCGTGTAAGTATTGTAGTTACGTTGATTCGTCGTGGTCATCACGGTGGTGTCATCACCGAGCGAAATAGACGATTCCATGTGCCTTCGACGATTTACTGTTTTACTAGCGGGAGAAGGTTCATGCTTAGAAGGTGTATAAGTATCTCTGCTGGTTGTTTTTGTTTCCATAGTGCCGGTGCTGATCTTTAAGTTATCTTCGTGTGACTTAATGTCCGCTCGCTCGCCACGAACTATTGTGTAAGTCGACTTGTGAGACGTTGTGCCTTCGAAATCACCCATCATCTTTAGATTATCCTCTCTTTTTACGACTTCGATTCTTTCTGCTCTTTTGGGAGTGAAGTCGTCACGTGGGCGTCCGATGAAATCACCTTCTGGCTTCAAATTATCGGCGTGACGAATCGGCGAGCGTCGTTCGCCGGGACCAATCTTATCTGGAGTTCTACGTTCAAAATCACCCTCTGGCTTCAGATTATCCGGGTGCTTGATTGGAGTTCTTTTCTCCCCGGGCCCGATCACGGTCTTCTGAGGTCTGTCGAAATCTCCTTCCGGACGTAGATTGTCCGAACGCTTTTTAATCGGCACGCGTTCACCAACCACGTGCACGTAATCATCCTTGCGACGCACGTCGATAAATTCGCCTTCCATTCTGAGATTATCTTCATGTCTCTTAACATCTACTTTCTCCACTCTCGTGATTTTCTTATAGTCATCTCTCGAGCGATGAGTATCTATTTGTCCCTCCATGCGCAGGTGATCCTCGTGCCGACGTATTTCTACGCGATCTCCATTTACGTATTTATAATCATCCTTCGGAGATACTTTCATTTCACCTTCGGGACGAAGATTGTCCTGAGGTTTTTTAACAGGCGATCGATCTCCTCTCTTTGGAATAAAATCGTCCTTAGGCACTATGTAAAAATCTCCTTCAGGGTGAAGATTATCCTCGTGCTTGATCGGAGTTCTTCGCTCAGCCGGTTCTACTTTCTTCGGGAAACGTTTCGCGAAGTCTCCTTCGGGATGAAGATTATCCTTTGGCTTCTTCACATCTGCTCGATCACCTTTTAGCGGCGTGTCTTTCTTCGGTCTGCCAATGAATTCTCCTTCCGGATGAAGATTATCGGGATGTTTAATGGGTGATCGTCGTTCGCCGGGTCCAACGGGTGATTTTATTGGTCTCTCGAATTCACCTTCGGGCTTCAAATTATCTTTCGGCTTCTTGACGACTGCTCGGTCACCCTTAATAGACACGGTTTCCTTCGGCCGTTGAACAAAATCGCCTTCTGGCTTTAAGTTATCAGGATGTTTAATAGGAGATCTTCTCTCTGCAGGACCTATTGGTGCTTTCTCTGGTCGTTCGAAATCACCCTCAGGATAGAGGTTGTCTTCATGTCTAATAATTTCGCTACGTTCACCACGAGTAGCTCGATAATCATCTCGTCGATGAATATCAACGAATTCGCCTTCAATCTTCAAGTTATCTTCACGATGAACAATATCCAAACGTTCGCGTTTAGACGTAGTCACGTAATCATCTCGAGATCGATAAACATCTATATCGCCTTCCATCTTCAAATTGTCTTGATGTACTACGATTTCAGTTCTCTCTCCTTTAGTCGGTTTGTAATCGTCCTTGGGTTTTCCTACGAATTCTCCTTCAGGCTTCAAATTATCTTTAGGCTTTTTTTGAATTGGTCGATCGACGCGCTTAGGAATAAAATCATCTTTTGGTCGACCAACGAATTCACCCTCTAGATGCAAGTTGTCTTCGTGTCGAATCGGTGTACGTCGTTCTGCTGGACCAATCGGTGATTTCTGAGGTCTCACAAAATCGCCTTCAGATCGTAAATTATCTTTTGGTTTGGTAACATCCGCCCTTTCACCCTTGATCGGTACCTTTTCCTTTGGACGTTTTTCAAATTCACCTTCTGGTTTCAAATTATCTGCATGCTTGATCGGAGTTCTTCTTTCCGCTGGACCAATTGGTTTTTTCTCCGGTCTTTCAAACTCACCCTCCGATCGTAAATTATCTTGCGGTTTTCGAACTTCGGCTCTGTCACCTTTTCTCGGCACGTCTTCTTTCGGCCTAGATACGAACTCGCCTTCAGGTTTCAAATTATCGTGTGGCTTCTTTACAATTGGTCTTTCGGCAGGCTTGAATTCTTCAGGCTTAGGTCTCTCAAACTCACCCTCAGGTTTTAAATTATCAAAATGTTTAATTGGAGTTCTTCTTTCCGCTGGACCAATCGGTTTTTTCTCTGGTCTTTCGAAGTCACCCTCTGATCGTAAATTATCTTGCGGTTTTCTGACATCGGCTCTTTCACCTTTCTTCGGCGCTTCTTCTTTTGGCCTAGATGTAAACTCGCCTTCAGGTTTCAAGTTATCGAGTGGCTTCTTTACAATCGGTCTTTCAGCAGGCTTGAATTTTTCAGGCTTAGGTCTTTCGAATTCACCCTCTGATTTTAGATTGTCAGAATGTTTTATCGGAGAACGTCGCTCAGCAGGACCAATCGGTTTCTTTTCTGGTCTTTCAAAGTCTCCTTCCGGTTGCAAATTGTCTTGCGGTTTTCTGACATCAGCTCTCTCACCTTTCTTTGGTGCTTCTTCTTTCGGTCTAGATACGAATTTGCCTTCAGGTTTCAAATTATCATGTGGCTTCTTTACAACCGGTCTTTCAGCAGGCTTGAATTCTTCAAGCTTAGGTCTTTCGAATTCACCCTCTGGTTTTAGATTGTCAGAATGTTTAATCGGAGAACGTCGCTCAGCAGGGCCAATTGATTTCTTTTCCGGTCTTTCGAAGTCTCCCTCTGGTCGCAAATTATCTTTCGGTTTTTTCACGTCAACTCTCTCACCCTTTTTAGGTGCTTCTTCTTTAGGCCGACGTACGAAATCGCCTTCTGGTTTTAAATTATCTTCTGGTTTTTTAATTTCAGGTCTCTCTGCTTTTTTAGGCGAATAATCGTCCTTCGGACGACCTTCGAATGGACCTTCTGGTTTTAAATTGTCACGATGCTTAACGACATCCATGCGTTCGCCTTTAACGACTTTGAAATCATCTCGTGTTCTCATATCGATAAATTCTCCTTCCATACGTAAATTATCCTGATATTTAGTAATTTCAGTCCTTTCGCGTATTAAGAAATCGGTATATTCGTCTCTGGATCTATAAGTTTCTATATCTCCTTCCATTCGCAAGTTATCCGTGCGCTTCACTACGTCCATGCGTTCGCCACGCACCGGTCGATAATCATCCTTCGGTCGACCTTCGAATGGACCCTCTGGTCTCAGATTATCCTCTGGTTTTTTAACTTCGGCACGATCACCTTTAGTGGGCGTAAAGTCTTCTTTAGGTCTACCAATGAATTCACCCTCCGGCTTAAGATTATCTGGATGTTTCACTGGCGTACGTTTCTCAGCTGGAACATATTTTTCAGGATGAGGTCTTTCAAAATCGCCTTCGGGTCTTAGATTATCTATTGGTTTTTTGACTTCTGGCTTTTCTGCTGGACGATAACCTTCTTGTTCCGGTCGTTCAAACTCACCTTCTGGCTTCAAATTGTCTGCATGTTTAATCGGAGTACGTCGTTCCGCTGGACCAATAGGTGCTTTTTCTGGTCTTTCAAAATCGCCCTCGGGTTTGAGATTGTCCTTTGGCTTTTTAACATCAGCTCTGTCACCTTTTTTTGGCATTTCTTCTTTTGGTCGAGAAACGAATTCGCCTTCCGGTTTTAAATTATCGTGTGGTTTCTTTACTACCGGTCTTTCGGCAGGTCTAAATTCTTCAGGCATAGGTCTCTCGAATTCACCTTCTGGCTTCAGATTATCAGAATGTTTAATCGGAGAACGTCGCTCTGCAGGGCCAATTGGTTTTTTCTCCGGTCTTTCGAAGTCGCCCTCCGGTCGCAAATTGTCTTGTGGCTTTTTAATATCAGCTCTCTCACCTTTCTTTGGTGCCTCCTCTTTTGGTCTTGACACAAATTCGCCTCCCGGTTTTAAATTGTCATGTGGTTTCTTTACAATTGGTCTTTCGGCAGGTTTGAATTCTTCAGGTATTGGTCTCTCAAACTCACCCTCTGGTTTTAGGTTATCAGAATGTTTAATCGGGGTACGCTTCTCTGCTGGACCGATTGGTTTCTTTTCCGGTCTTTCGAACTCACCTTCCGGCCTTAAATTGTCTCTCGGTTTTTTCACGTCAGCTCTCTCACCTTTTTTAGGCGCTTCTTCCTTAGGTTGACGTACGAAATCGCCTTCTGGTTTTAAATTATCTTCCGGCTTTTTAATTTCAGGTCTTTCTGCTTTCTTGGGTGAATAATCGTCCTTCGGACGACCTTCGAACGGACCTTCCGGTCTTAAATTATCACGATGTTTAACGACGTCCATGCGTTCGCCTTTAACAACTTTAAAATCATCTCTCGTTCTTGTATCAATGAATTCACCTTCCATACGTAAATTATCTTGATATTTAGTAATTTCAGTTCTTTCGCGTATTAAGAAATCAGTATATTCGTCTCTGGATCTATATGTTTCTATATCTCCTTCCATACGCAAATTGTCCGTGTGTTTAACAATATCCATACGTTCTCCACGCACTGGTCGATAGTCATCTTTTGGTCGACCTTCGAATGGGCCTTCCGGTCTTAAATTATCCGCTGGTCTTTTAACATCAGCGCGATCACCTTTTGTTGGTATGAAATCTTCTTTCGGTTTACCGATAAATTCACCTTCTGGTTTAAGATTATCCTGATGTTTCACTGGTGTTCGTTTCTCAGCTGGAGCGTATTTTTCAGGACGTGGTCTTTCAAATTCACCTTCAGGCCTTAAATTGTCCACTGGCTTTTTGACTTCTGGTTTTTCTGCCGGACGGTAACCATCCTGACGAGGCCGCTCAAATTCACCTTCTGATTTGAGATTATCTGGATGTTTCACTGGTGTTCGCTTCTCAGCTGGTGCATATTTTTCAGGACGTGGTCTTTCAAATTCACCTTCAGGCCTTAAATTGTCCACTGGCTTTTTGACTTCTGGTTTTTCTGCCGGACGGTAACCATCCTGACGAGGCCGCTCAAATTCACCTTCTGATTTGAGATTATCTGGATGTTTTACTGGTGTTCGCTTCTCAGCTGGTGCATATTTTTCAGGACGTGGTCTTTCAAATTCACCTTCGGGTCTTAAATTGTCCACTGGCTTTTTGACTTCTGGTTTTTCTGCCGGACGGTAACCATCTTGACGAGGTCGCTCGAATTCTCCTTCGGATCTAAGATTATCCGGATGTTTAATTGGAGTGCGTCTTTCGGCTGGACCAATAGGTGCTTTCTCTGGTCTTTCGAAATCGCCTTCGGGGCGTAGATTATCTTCCGGACGTTTTACTTCAGGACGTTCTGCACGCTTGGGTGAATAATCATCTTTTGGACGACCCTCGAACGGACCTTCTGGTCGTAAATTATCTTCAGGGCGTTTAACATCGGCACGTTCTCCTTTAGTTGGTCTGAAATCATTTTTGGGTTTTCCTTCAAAGTCACCTTCTGGACGAAGATTATCGATATGTTTAATGGGCGTTCTACGTTCGGCAGGTTTGAATGGCTCGATTTCTCTGTCTGGAAATTCTCCTTCCGGAAATAGATTATCCGGATGACGAACGATAGATGCTCTGTCACCGGGACCGTAAGGTATTGGCTTAGGTCTTTCGAAGTAGCCTTCAGGATACAAATTATCCAGATGTCTGATAGGAGTGCGTTTCTCACCGGGTACATATTGGTCTTTGGGACGATCTGAAAAATCGCCTTCGAGTCGTAAATTGTCTTTCGGTCGTTTCACTTCAGGACGTTCCGCTGTCTTCGGAGTAAAATCATCTTTTGGACGTCCTTGGAACGGTCCCTCTGATTTCAAATTATCCTGTGGTCTTTTAACATCAGCTCTCTCTCCTTTGGTTGGCCTAAAATCATCCTTAGGCCGTCCTTCAAATGGTCCTTCAGAACGTAAATTATCTTCTGGTCGCTTGACTTCAGGGCGTTCGCTACGTTTAGGTGCATAGTCATCTTTAGGACGCCCTTCGAATGGTCCTTCAGGACGTAAGTTATCTTCTGGCCGTTTCACTTCATAACGTTCGCCGCGTTTAGGTGAATAATCATCTTTAGGCCGTCCTTCGAATGGTCCTTCAGGTTTTAAATTATCTATAGGTTTTTGTGGTTCTGGCCTGCGCAGCAATATTGGTGTAACGTAATCATCCTTTGTGTGAGACAATGCTTCGAAAGGTCCTTCGGGTCTTAGATTATCAGCTCTTTTAATAACTATGGTACTTTTATAATCTGCCTGATCAAAAGTTCGAAATTGTTCCTGAGAGGTCGTAGTACTGTCAATGATGTCTGTTTTACTGTAAAACCGATCTGTGTCTTTAGGATACTTCGGTCGCCACTGAGGTTCACGTTCAATAACATGAGTCTGGAAATCTTCCTTGATATGAGAGGTACCCTGTAAGATAATTTTTAAAAACAATGAAATCACATATGCGGTCTTATAAACGTTCTGATTAAAATCCAAAAGTTTTTATCGTTAAAAACTACTAACCGTGAATTCACCCTCTCCCACGATGAGATTATCCGTTCGTTTAACGATTTCAGCGTGTTGGATGCTACGATGATCAATGTATTGCGATCGCGTCGTCGTTTCGTCAGTGAAATCACCTTCTATCTTTGTATAAGTATTGCGACGTATTGGGATCGGTCGTTCGCCAGGAGTGCCAGTAAAAACCAACTCGGTTGTTGTTGTAGCTAGAAAATAACAAAATTATTTATTTATTTTTCTATATCGAGCATACAATTTTACGAAAAGTTTATTTTTGTATACATAAGAATTCTTTTGAATAGCTGTTGAGATCAAATTTATAACACAAAAAAGTTAATAAGTTCACGAACAGAATTACGCAAATATTTAAAGTTACTGTCAAAATCCCTTTCAAATTTCAAGTTATCCCTCGGCTTTGTAATCGGTGCTCGTTCGCCATATTTCGAAGTTTCCTCTCGAGGCTTACCGACAAACTCGCCCTCCGGTTTGAGATTGTCCTGTGGCTTCTTTACAAGTGCCCTTTCACCCCTTATAGGCACCTCTTCCTTTGGTCTTCTAACGAATTCACCTTCGGGTTTGAGATGATCTTGCGGTTTTCTGACTGGCGCTCTCTCGCCCCTAGTAGCCACATAATCAGTTCGTCTCTGTCCGATAAATTCACCCTCTGTATGTAAATGATCTTCATGATAATATTTTGTTTGCTTTTCCACATGTTTTTCGTCGTAATCCTGGCGATAGGAAGTCACAGTATGCAACGGTTCTTCATAAGAGAATTCCAAATGTTCTTGGGGCAAATTGTGCGGGCAACGATGACGTCTAAAATATTGTCATTTATTAGAATTTAGAAATAAATATAACGCTTATGATATATTACAATGTTTTTTCAGATCGCATGAGAAGTAACGTTTTGAGAAGCATATTTTAAGAAAGGTATCTATTTTTAAATAGTTTCGTTCATATTTAAAAGCAGCAATACTGTAAAGTAAACGATACTGTATTCTTATGACATTCACTGTATATGCCTGTTTAATATTAATAAAAGGGAAGAAAAGCGTTTGCAGAAAATTCTTGTTATCCGCTTTTGTATTCGTTCAAATAGCGCTGATGCATAACAAAGACTCGGTGCATATGGAGATTTAAATATGACGCAGAAGGGTATCAATCCTTTTATGTTCTTAATGAGTATAAAGGTTTTGCGTCATTTTAAATGTCTTGTTATTCTCGGAATTAGTATTTGCAGCCGTTACCATACGATGGATGTAAAGGCGAAATTGTGATCGAGACATTGTAATCTGTTCACTCGATACACGATATATTAAAATATCGTGTCTTTTAATATCACATTTATATTATTAATTAAAAACAAATATTTTATAAATGTCGTAAAAATTACAATAAGCTGAATAATTCGTATATTTTATTTAGCGAGAATTAATTTAATATTTATTATAATTCGAGTTATTAATAGTCTTTATTAGTCACAGAACAGTATGTTTTAACGAGATGTTCTCACGTAAATCGAATTGTTATTGGTACATGTTCAATTAATTAAATATTCTTTGGCTTGATTACAAAAATTAATTAAGTTCTTTACAATCCAATCGCATTGGAAATTTTAGATACCTTCATTTATAATTGAATATAATTCAGAATATATACTTAAGATTTTATCAAACGACGAATGACGTTCCTATCGATATTGATCGTATTAATTACTGAAAAGCTTTCACTTTTCTGTAAAAAGGTACGAATTACATCCTGCTGGTGAATGCTTTTACTGCAATACTGGTTAGATACCGTAAATGGTATGGAATAAAGAAACGTAGTATTCTTGCCAATATTTTATGCAAAGCAACTCAACTTATTTGGACACCAGCATTTCATATGAGAGATCCTACTTCGGTGTAACTACATCAAGCAATATCAAAATTCGTTCTCATAATTCTTTTTCGCTTTTCTTCTATGCCGTTGGGTATTACGAAAATGCAATTCCGTAAAAGCCAGACTTGGTCAAAGTCGAGTAGTATCATGTATTTTTTATTGGATAAAACCATATTACATGACACATTATGAACATCCCTTTAGAGCCGCGTTAAACCAGAAGAGAGAAGTTTTAGCAGACCTCAAAGTTAAGCAGACTTACGTAGAAATTTCCAACGACTAATCGCCTACGAGTAGACGAACCGCAATTACTTCTTGAGATGGCCACGACGCGACTAATTTTCTACGAACTTATATCTCTCGCTCACAAATCTATCTACGCTACGAGTTTCTATCTATTATTATAAATAAATTTATATATAATGATATGTATATAATTGTATAATATTTATTAAATTTTTCTAAAATTATTGTTTTTTTCTATTGCCATTACTAAAAATCACAAATTAATAACTGAAATAAAAAATAAAAAATTTTCTTAAATATTAAGAAAATTTGTTTCTGTTATATACCACATATAAGATCTTGAAAAAATTGCAAAAATTAAAAGATTCAAACAAGATTTAAAGGAACTTAAATACCATATTAATCTCCATAATTAACCATTTTTTTGAAAGATATAATAAATACTCTTTAAAAATGATGATATGTCTAATACAATTACCAAAGCTATATGGTAAATTTATATGATTCGTCACCGTTATGCAGAGCTACGTAGGTTGGAAAGTTCGAATAAAGAAGGAATCGTGCGATGACTTGCTCTCGCCCAGAACAACTTGCCGTAAAAGGATCTGTCTCGTGTCCTACTTTTGCATATTATGCATGCGTATATAGTGTTTTCTAAATAAAAAAATTGACATGTGTGATACTACTACTTTGATAAAACATCAATAAATACGTTACTGATTTTTTTTATAGCAAGAATTGAATTAATTAAACAAGAATTTTCAATAATTAAAAATAACTTAATAAGAACGATGAAAACTTTTGATAACGAAAATATGAGTCTATATAGGAAGTATGTAATAAGTGATACAGATACTAAAATAATGTTAAATCAAAAGTAAATACATTCGTACATAATAAACTCAGCTCAGCTCTGAATGGATTGCTGCAATGAATTTAATAGAGTAGGAAATATGGCCTTGAAGACAATCTCCTGTTTCTCTCGTCAATTTGCATCTCGACTCTGGCAAGTTTTGTATTCTGATCTTGTTAATAATGTTTAGAAGTAGGTCAACCGTGTTCCTCTCTACAGCGAACGTGTAGATAAGTTAAATTAAATCGTATTCGCACTGGTTCTATACTTGTTAATTATACTCCTTGTAAAATGTTTATTAATATTCTAATATTAAAATTTATATGTATATAGAAAGTAATTAAATGTTATCGTAGAATCTTAATTTTGGCTTATAATGCTTCGCATAATTTACATTAAATCTACATTTGTACCAGATTTTTTATTTTTATATCTTTATATATAGCATTTTTACATATGAAGAGAGATATAAGTATTTTATCACAAAGAACACTCACCCGCAAGTACAAAGCTCACAAATGCACTGCTCTTTTAGAGGGATTTTCGACAATATATCCGGTACCGGCATTGATTTAGGATAGACTACGTCCTCGTCGAGAGAGTCTGGACTTTGATCTCCTCGTTTAGGCTTGTCCCGTTCCAATTTCTTCGGTTCTTCAGGCTTCTCGGCAAATCGACTAGGTTTAGGTTTCGAAGGTTCAGATTCTTTATCGGGTTTTCTAAATGTTGTAGGCTTTTCTTCGGATCGACTCGGCTTGCCGGCCGCTGGCTGTGGTTTTCTAGTCGGCGACGTATGATCCCGAAGCTTTTCAGGTGACTTTGGTCGGATTTCGGAAGGTCTACGAAACCAACATCGATAAGTTATAAATTATCACCTTTTTATTTTTTCTTACCGTTTAGACATATTATATAAAAGAATTAGAGTAGTTTAAAGATAAAAGAAGAAACAGTTTATTTTTTATTTACCTGCCATCCACTGGCCACTGAGGACTTCTTTCGCGCTGCGGAGGTCGACTGGGCTTTCCAGCAATTGGAGTTGGTTTTGGTCGATCGTCTTCCCTGAGACCAGGTATTCCACGAGGATAACCGGGTCGTTCAGGCGATGGTTTTCTCGTGGAATCCGCTGGAGACCGGGATGCCGGGCCAACGATGGTATCGAATCGGGTGTTGTCAATGACATCCCGCGCTACCATGCTAGTCACCTGCTCTTTGTCGATAAATTTCTTCGTTGATTCGGTAACATCTCTCTAAAAAATACGACAAAAATTAGTCTTTAAGTATTTCTTAGATTTTACTAAATAACAGTAATATTAGTAGATACATGAAGCAGAATAATTGGTCAATTAATACGATCAATACTTTCAATTATCATTTTGCTAATGGTTGCTCATAATATTTTCACGCACAGTGTAAATTATACTGTTAATTATTACATATACTGTAATATCGAATATTATCACGTTTTTATAAATTAATATTACGTAGAATTTTACAGCTGCAACATAGGTAACAGTGCTGCATAAGTAACACATTGATTGTATACTATAACAAAGTACTTGCATTGATATGGCATATAAACTGTTAGGAAATGTCAAACTTAAACGACCAGTTATGACTACACCATCACTCGCAAACTTTACAACTACTTTGCTCGTAACGAATGACAACTGCATAGCAACATTGTGTCAATTTGCTTAAAGTCAATGTCATAACAATTATTTAAAAAAATAATGATGCATGATATTCAATTGGCATGCTAATTACACATAGTAAACGCCTTGATATATACATTGGCAAAGACTTCGAGGCGCAATAATGACGTAAATGCGGCTTCGTTTTTCATTGAACGTTCATTACGAGCTTCAAACATGCTGCATAATGAGCGCCGCGAGCATGAACGAGATTAGGAACGTTGGTAATGCTTAGTTCGACAGAATGCAGGTAACACGAGATTGGTGTATACGGCTTTTATGTGCACGCTTACGGAGTATCGTGTAACGTGTTTGTCGAACCGTCGAACCGTACTTTTGCGATTTAGTTTATTTCGTTAACGACATTGCTGTTGTTTCTAGAAATAGATTATGTTTGTACTATCGATAATGTAAATGATGTCCCTGGTGAAAATTTTTCTCATAATTTTTATTATGATTTATTAATTTACGAATTGGAACATTTTTCAGAAATACTTAGAAATATTCGGAAAGTTTACATCTTCTCTCAGAATTTTTTATACAAGTGAATTCTGAAATATTTTGAAATTTCTCACTTCATCATTTTTAAAACATATTTTTTAATTTTTTAGATTTTATAACATTTCATCAAAAATTATACTTACAAAACCTATAAGACATCTGACGATATTTCGTAAGTAACATATATGAAAAATTCTGAGAAAAGATGTAGATTTTCTGAGAAGTGTTCCAACTATGAAAAATGTGAGAAAGTTATAAAATTATATTGAAATTCTGAAAAATTATATGAAAAATTCTGAGAAAAATTTTCACCAGGGGTGTACAAAGAATTTTATTTTATAAGTGTATTTTAAAAGATTTTCAGATTTTGTATTTTTATTAAAATGTGTAGGAAATTTCGAAATCTTTTTTACTTAAAATTCTCGAATTTCTTGATAATTGTAATGTTTTAAAGTTTTAATAGTAAGTATTGGCCGACATATATACAAAACAGATAAAGGTTAACATTTCTAGTTATTAAGAGGAATTTTACTAATAATAATTTTTGTAAATTTTATATATTTCATTTTTATGTTTTTCAACGTGCAGATTGCTATTCATTTTTAAAGTGCAGTTTTATGCCATAACTGTGTGGAAACATAATATCACATTATTAAAATGATAATAATTTAATGTTACTAATATTAATAAGTATTTTATATATTCATGATAAATTTACTACGAAAAATATTGTTTTAGTTGGGAAATTTTGATATTTTACTTGTACGTTGAAATTCTCCACGTTACAGTGTGTCATTAAAAATGTCACGTATCTATTTTTTTCAATTTGTTGTAACTATTTATTACATTCATAAGCACCCTTGCTTTTCAATTTGACTCTACAACGAAGCAAATAACGTTTGCTGATATTATTAGTCAAATCCTGTTTTTAACACTAATGTAATTCGCATAAAGCATATCAAATAAAGTTTTGGCATTTAATTAGTAGGTTAAGTAGCTTGAGTCTTAAGCTGATTGTCCCTCCGCCGACGATATCGAGAGTCGAGAGTTGTTCATAATGAAGCTCGTTTACATAATTTAGACTTTGTTTTCCTGATGAGTATAATTTTGCCTGTCTAGAAATTTCACATTAAAAACGATCCTTTCGGTGTTGCTGTTTCATAGTAACTACAAGTTTAATAAAATTTCCGCGTTAAAAGAATTTTGATGAACGTGATTAAGCGCTGTTAATAAAATATCACATTTATCGATGCCATAATGTGTGACATGACGAGATAAAAGCGCATAATAGTGCGCGCCTTCATAAAATAATAATACCGAATCGCGCCGAGAAAACGCGATCACGCGTGTTCACGTACGTCGTATATCTCGATCCAAATAGGCCATCTCTATAGTTGTTTGCGTGTTGAACAATCAAAAACAACGATGGTGTCTGTAATATAACATCAAGATGAATTGTTTTGAATATAGGGACGTAAATTACAATCGTATACATACAAATAGATTCTACAGAGCGTTTTTTCTATCTAAGATGGAAAAAAGATATTTGTTGGATATTCATTTACAGAGTGATAGATGAAGTAACGCGAAAAGCACGTGTGCAAACGCGGACTTACTAAAGCATTTTATCGATCATTTCGAGACCTCGGAGTAAAGTCACGGCTGTGAGAATTAGATCGAGCTGCCTTAAAGAAACTGCTTTAAAGGACTGTCCGTGTGGTGCGGAATAAGTTACGAATGTCTATTTTTAATTCGTTCAACGGATGTAAACTTGTAAACGTGAGAACATATTGCAAATTACCAACGTAGTCCTTGTGAATTATCCTTGTGAGCAAAGCACTGAATATTCAAACTGCGATGTTAGATAACGTGAACTTCGAAGTACCGATCCTAATATTTGTGAGATGCTACGTGGAGATAAAGTTTCAAATTCTTCTCAGCATCTTCAGTTAGGAAATTCACTACTGTTAACAGTGAAAAGTATGCTCTCTGAATCTTCAATAAGCAACATGTGCAAAATAAGATTTTATCAGATATGAAACAAAATTTAAATTAATGTAACTATATAAGAAAATTAAACGCAGAAAAAATAAAAAAGTTTTCTTAAAAGAAAGACAATTTTTAAAATTAGAAAAAAATTGGACACAATCATTTGGATAAAAATGAAGTGTTATTTCTATCAGAAACTAATTTTAAATTGAAATTCTAAATTTCAAACTTTCAGAAATACTGTCGTTTTATCGCTGTAGCAGTAAAATCCAAAGTTTCATCTATGGCATTTATCTTTTTGTTTGATATCAACTCATATTTTTATGAAAACATGTAACTTTTCAGCCACAAAGTGACTCGGTCGCAGTGTAAAATCCGTTGATACCACGTACGATTTTGTTTTTACTGATTAAATCAATATCGAGTTCTATAGCATATTGAAATATACAGTGAATACACAAGGTATTATTGTAAAACGATGTATCTGTATGTCACTCTCTCTGTTGTACTATTATTATTTTATTTAATGTTATCGGTCGTTGCTATCGATACAGTAACTAGCGATGAGTGACGTCAATGTACACGTGTCTCTCAGCATGGCATATCTTAACTAAGATTGCTATAGCACTTGAACGAGACGACCGCATGATAAGCGAAGCGGAACGCGCGTGAAATTCAATTGGTCATACATTAAGCTGATTACATTGAGCGGTGACATCACTGCCGAATTTGCTCATATTTGATGCAATTATTATCATTCTGCATATGCTTGATTTAGCCTAATTGAAAGTGATTATACACTTACATGTGCGAGAAGGATGCAATTCCAAGGATTTTTTCATGGGGAGAAATGTAAATAATTATAATAATTAATCTTCGTATACAGACTCTTGTCATAAATAATATAAATAATATAGCAATAATTAAATTTATATTTTTCTATAACAATATTATTTGGCGTGATATTTTAAGTATGATATTGTTTAGAAACACAAGGTTTGTCTTCAATTTGAACTGTACAATGATCGTCTTAATATATATACATATTTATCTCTCTCAAAGATAACTTTCGTATTTATATGTCAAAGTTCATTTTTTAATCTAAAACAGAGGTTATCGTATTGTTTTCATGTCAATGACGATAATATATTAAAAATATTAAGATACATCATATATTTCTGTACTATGCAATAGCATATTGACGATTTAAAGCGATCATAATACAACGATACTGTATACGGGCAGAATTGTTTCTCATGTGTGAAATATCGATTTCCGCTCGATTCACTTTGCAATAGTTCGATGAATCGAGGCTCAGTCGTCTAGAAATTCGTATATATTAGGGACACGATATATATGTATTCTGTCTGTTTCAAAATAGAGCATTTAACAAAACGAATTCTCTTTTGTTCTTCTGCTCTTAACCCTTCCCATCTTTCTTCGAATCGCTGTATTACGTCAGGTTTATTTTCAACGCGGCGCCATACACATGAACCTACAACCTTCGCCCGGTTTGGAAGTGAAAGTATCGTTCGAACCTCTTCCGAAAGGACTGAGCTCAAAGTATCTCGATAAGATTTTTATAAATCTGCCTCCTGACATATGGTCATTGTCAACTAGTCGAGAAGTTAATGTATTGAGAGCTCAAGTACATCGAAAATAGAAAGTTTAAACAATAATAAGATTGAAAGACCGCTTATATTAACTACAATACTTTAAACTAAGAAGCGCCACTAATGGTCTGAACGTTAAGATGTTGAACTATTCTAAATTCATTTAAATGAATTAATTTCAGAAATTATAATTGCATGCCGATATGGTTGTCGGACTTTCAACGCAATCAAATCTGAAATATTAATAATTCCCCCAAATTTCCCAACTTAAAAACTGTAATAAACTTATTAACTAGAAAGTTTAAAGTTTTCAGTATTTGACTTCTTATAGAAATAAATGTTGAAACAGAGATGATTATGACATAAGTAATTATCCCGGAAAACTGAATGAGTCGTAGTTTAAGCAATTTCCTGTGGACAGCTAATAAAAAAAACATTTTAACGGCTTGCAATTACTCACCACATCCTTGCGTGTGTCCGTCGTAAATTCAGTGATGACACGCTCGTCCTTAACATCGCGCACGTCTTGCTCAGAAGTAAATCTCGAAGACTGATCGATTACATAAGATTGCTGAAGCATTTCGGATGTACGCGTGATATCCGCATGTGTGATATCCGCGACATCTTCGATATGTCTGATCTCAGTGACGTCCTTCTGTGTCTCCGTTGATTTTCGCGAAATCGGAGTAAGCATCGCTTTTTCTTTCTGATCCACTGGTTTGCTTTCTTTTTCAATCGGTTTTCGTTCGTCTGCCGGTTTCTTCGGTACTTTAGTTGGTTCATCACGTGTCGGTTTCTTTTGCGAATCCTGCGGTTTTTCGTATACGAAAGAACCGTCCCAAGTGGAGGCACCAGGCTTCGACGGTCGGTGCGTTCTGTCTACCAGACTTTTTTGCGGCTTTTCGTCAGAGGGCTGTTTTGATTTCTCGTAATCGATCGGATGTACTTTATCCTTCGAACTATCTTTTATATAAATTTTGGATATATTTGACGAGTCATATGCCTTTGAATCGGTGACGTACGTTTGCTCGACCGTGACGGAGCTCGTAGAATAATCGGTAGAACTTGACACATCCTTCGATGTGTTCAGTATCGTAACAGATGTTCTATGATCAGCGATGTCACTCGGTTTTTCTTTAATTGGGCTTCGTTTATCTTCAATTTTAATATCTTTTGGCACTTTTCGATCTCCTGGTCTCTTCTCTTCTGGTTTCTCATACACGAACGATCCATCCCAGGTAGAGGCGCCTGGCTTCGACGGTCGATGTATTCTATCCACCGGACTTTTTAGCGGTTTTTCGTGTTTAGACTCTTTAATGTCTTTCGGACGTTGTCGAGGCGATGGCTCAGGTTTTCCGTCAAACAGCTGTCTTGGCTTTTCATCGGTTTCACGTACTTTATCTGCTGCGCTTTCTTTGATGAAAATTTTGGATATATTTGAAGAATCGTATGTCTCTGAATCCGTGACGAATGTTTGTTCAACCGTGACAGAGCTCGTAGAATAATCGGCAGAACTTGTTATATCTTTTGATGTGTCCAAAATTGTAACTGTTCGATGATCAACATTGTCGGTCTGTTGTTCTTTAATTGGACTTTGTTTAGTCACAGTTCTATGTATATCTTTCGGTGACTTTTTATCGCTTAGTCTTCTCTCCTCTGGTTTCTCATACACGAACGATCCGTCCCATGTGGACGATCCTGGTTTTAGAGGTCGGTAACTTCTATCGTCCGCGCGAGATTCCTTCTTCTCGCTTTTAACAGTGGTCTCTTTAACGCCGGTAGTAGTTATTACGTCACTACTAGGTAGCCTTTTCGCGCCGCTATGAGGGCTTTCTTGAATGATTACTGTTTTATGCGTCGTTATTGGCTGACCGTCGCGAATAGTAACAGTTTCGACGGAAGTCGTTGAGAAATCAAGATTGGAGGAATCCGTGTAACTTTCGTGCATTCTCGATTGTTCCGTAACGACGGAACTTTCCATAGTCTCTGACGTGCTTGATACATCTTGCTTGACATCTCGGAGATTGATAGTAGTCTCGCTAACATATTTCTTCGATGTATCAACATGGGGTATCTTTTTGCTGTCTGCTGGACGAGGTTTATCTGATAGCTTATCAATGGATTCTCTACTAGGTAGTCGCTTCTTCTCTTGCGATTTTTCCAATACGAAAGTTCCGTCCCACGTTGACGATCCGGGTTTGGTACTTCGCAGATCTCTATCTTTCGGTATCTTCTCCGGACTTCTAGGTCGTGGAGAGGGACTAGCCCGACGTTCCATCGTCGAAACTTTGCTTCGTGATGTATCTCCATCAAATCTAATCGTCGTTTCGACAGGGCGTCCCTCGTAAACGACTGTCTCGTATCTCGTGGACCTGGCACTGGCGTCCTTGATGTCCGAGAAACTCTGCTGACTCGATGAATGCTCAACGACGTAAGAAGTACTCGTGACGTCTGCTTCGTTAATCGAATTGTCTTCCGTAACATCTCGAATATCGATGGTTTTTACTGTGCGTTTATCTTCCGATTTTCGACGACTATCAGGTGTTACCGGTCGCTCGTAGACGAAGGTACCATCCCAAGCAGATTGACCGGGCTTGTAACAGCGCGAGGTTGTATCAAATTTTGTTTGTCTCTCCGGACTTCCATGGCCGCGCGTAATTTTATCCTCAGGACTATCTTCCTCTAAAATCATCTCGGACACCGACGTGACCTTCTCGACATTCTTCTTGTCACCGGAAATCGCGTATTCGACGATATAAGACGTGGAGACCGATTCAGTAACGTTCGAAATGTTCTGTTCTTCGCTGACATCTTGAACATCCACGGTATCATGATGTTTCTCCGTTCTACGGACAACGGTGACGTCTGAAGGATGCTTCTTTACGTCATCTTGCGACTTTTCGTAGATAAATTCGCCCGGTCTGCCGAGTCTTCGTTGCGACGGACTGGATACGCGAGCAAGGTGTTCATCCTTACTTAATGGCGTGCCATCGACATGGATCGAAGTCTCTCTGCTTACATCTCGTCGTTCTTCAGAAATGAATCTGGTGCTATCCGTAGCACCTTTTACGACGCGCATAGTCTCGGATGACTCCTTCTCATATGTACCGTCCGTACTCTTCTCTTTGAAATCTCTTCTCTGCGTCGTTTCCGCGACGTTGTCGCCGTGACCGTGATGAAACATGTTGACGTCGGAATCGTTACGCTGACTTCTTGGCTGCGTCGTAATTTTTTCCACGACGAAGCTTCCGTCCCACGTCGAATCGCCAGGTTTCGAGTAACGGGTTGGTCCCTTCGAATATTTTTCACTAGCGAAATCTGTTGTATCTGTGGCGGTTTTTCCCGATGTGATATCATGAAGACAAGTCGTCGTTCGTTGATCTTCATCGACTATCATTTTCGAGTCTCGAGTCATGCTTGAACTTGAAGATACTTTCTGATCGATAAACGATACCTCCTGGGTCGAGGTCTCTTGAGTGACTTTAACGCTTGTTTCATTATCTCTAGTATCGCTATGAATCTTCGAACTTACTGTTTTATCAATGACATTTTTGTCCTTAGGAGTGGCGGGTTTTTCATAGACAAACGTGCCATCCCACGTGGATTGACCGGGCTTATTACAACGTGTTGATATCTCGATGTTTGATCTCTCTGATTTCAAATCGCTGCGCGTACTTTTATCGCCACTCCCCTTGATATCATTAGTATTTTTAATGATAGCCACATTGGAAGGTGTGATTGTACGCTCGCTATCAACTTCTCGACTCGATGTGGACATCATCTTACCGTTGTCATTGATTCTTTCTCCCGTTTCGCGTATTCTCGTGGTGTTCGACATTGTTTGGCCGTCTTTCATTACTGCTTCGCTCGTCTCGCTACTCACGTGAGTACTCTCGGTCGACCTTGACGATGTCTGAGATATGGGAACGTGAGCTCCATTTTTAATGTCATGAGAAACTACAACAGTGGAACGATGTCCGCTATGATCCTCGTGGATGCGCTTTGACTTTGCGTCTGCACGGATTGACTGGCTTGTTCAGTCCTTTCTCCTTGAATTGTCCGACTTTTCGAAAGAGACGTTGAGTGCTCGCGTGGAATCTCGTGCGTCGTCTTCGCTTGCTTAATCGATTGCATCTGTTCCCCTGCTATAAAGTCTTGAGAGCTTTTTCCGGTTCTTCGGCTGGACGAGCTCTGTTGGATAGTCTGTGGAGGTGTCTCGATAACTTTGATAATGTTACCTTTAGAATCCATGATGACCTCGCGACTGGCACTCGTGACCTCCACCATGCTACTTTTAGATTCGCTTTCCTTCACCTGATTCGATTCCTCCACGACGCTGGTGGAGGATACGACCTCGACTGTCTCCGTTGTCGTCACATCCGAGGACGTCGACGTCGTCGCCACTTCGTTTTTCGCGGTTCCCGCATTCTTCATCCTTGACACCGTGCCTTTTTTGTGAATAGTCATCGCTACGTGTTTTCGGTCGCTTCTACAGCTCGATTAGTCGACAATAATTTCACACAAACGCGAGAGAATCGTGTGCGATTGTTGTAAATGCGATAAAAACCGAGAATGTTTTTAAAACGCACACTCACTGCAACTTTGCCCCCGATCTTAAATTTTAAATCTAAAAAAAGTTCTCTGCTATCGCTGGCGCACAACCGTTTATCATCGACACTCGGTTTTAACTACATTATACCGCTCGCTCGCACGCGCTCATGCCACTCTTCGAGTCACCCAGACGAACTGAAGCTCGGCTGTGACCGGCCTCGTTTACAAACTCGTTTCTTCTGTATGATCCTCGGAACTTTCTCGCCTGCGTCAGATATATCCACGAGCTTCGCGCGTGCTTCTTCTCACTCGCACATAAATTCCAAAACTCTGTCTTTCTCTTTGATCACTCGGAGTTATGCCGGCTTCAAAATTTGTGATTGCGAAAGATGTGAACCGATGTTCTCAGTCCGATATCGCGAGTCGATGTGGCATCGGCGGTTACTCGCCGCTGCTGGTCTAGGTGACCACACGGTTCTCCACCGTTCCTCTCCGTTCCTCTCTCTCGTCGCTGACACTGACGTACACCAACCATGGATCTTTTATGCCTGGAGAACACCGCGGCATCCCTACTTTCCGCGACGTGACGGAGCCTCTGTACATTCGTCGGTACGTGTCCCATTCGCTCGGCGTGGGACGTTGCCACCCATCCTCATGTGTCCCACACGCTCGTGGCGTGGGACGTATTCGCGTATTGTTCACGACCGGCAACGCGTGTTAGAATGCGTGACCTGTGAACACGCGCTTACATACGCATGTACGTACGTCGCGCCGCTACCGTCTCGACCAGGTGTATCGCTTATGTTATTACGATATATTGCCAGATTGGAGTACGTCTTTCTTTCTCTCATGGTTTATCTGCGACTTCTCTTTATCGTGCACATATTTGCACAGCGATAACACACGCCGCAAATACGTTTATATGTCAATGTCGAATTCTAATAACAAATTCCAACACTCGTATAACGCCGAAAAGTAAATACAGATAATATTTCAATATTAAAGATTTTTTTTATACTTTATATTCTTAAATATGTTCATACATATAAACATGAAGATATTACCGATTTTTAACATAAAGCGTGATGAAGCAAAATAATATGTCTTTTAAATAATAATTACTTTTCCTATTACTTTCCATTGCGCGCAATGAGCATTACTCGGTGGTGTTTAACGTTATATCAACTCGTAAATGTAGCCGCGCTTCGCGCACATGTGCGCGTGTACGCATCGGCGTACGCGTTACATAACAGACACGTAAACGCAGGATATATGTATATATATATATATATAGTCTTTTTCTCTTTCCTGTATTAGTGTACATGCGTACACCTGTTGATCTCTTGTATTATGCAAATAAAATTCCAAACTAGATTCCAACCTAGATAGACTTGTGTAAAACCCAATTTTGCGTTTTTACATAAGTATTTAAATACAATTAAAGTTTATTACGATTATTTTCATCGTGATATTACTTCTTTTTTGCATGATATTATATCTCTTTTTATTAGAGATCCAAACACATGACGATAAATGAAAAACTGAAATAATAAAATAGAATAATTAATAGCAATCTGTATTGTATCGAACCACATCGTTGCATAGTAAAAAATATATTAAAAAATGGAGTACAATCCATAAAAGACGAGGAAGTCTTATAAAGGTGTATTATCCTACGCGCGAATCGAAAGTTTCATCTTGATACTTATTTCTATAAAAGCTTCGTACAATGATTCATACATAACGACACGCAGGTTCTTTCTTTCAACATTTTGCAGCGAGAAAAATTGCGGACCGTGAACACTGCGAACGCGACAGAGAAATCGGTGGGGGTACCTTCGTAGAACCGGTCCATCGTGATGCCACGGTGTAAACCGAGCGATGACGTAGACTGCAAAACTGCGACGATCGTAGCCGGTGTTTCCTCCGGGACGGACAAGTGTCACCAATGTCCATTACTTATTGTTAGAGACATGATTGAGATAACAGTTAGTTATTTCAATGAGACTCTCTTAACAAGTCATGATATTTAAAGAGGCAATCGTTTTGCTGATAAACTAATTCGTTTATGAGGAACGGATAGATTCTTTCTCGATTCAAATAATATACTTGTTAGAATAATTATTATAAATTATTTTGTTACTGATTACAACAATTGTATATAATACAATATATTATTTTCTCGTTATTGTTATCATTATTGTAGGTATATCGGGTTATGACATGTGGCTGATAAAAAATAAAAAACTTGATATAAAAAGTTTTAGTTACTTCATTTCTTTACATAATTATAGTTTGTATGGATAGATAACAGTATATGATTACGACTTGTGAGATAAGATCGACTAGAGAATGCTAAGCATCTTTTATTGCTATTGATTATTATGGATTGATTCAGGATGAAAATATGATAATACGGAAATCATTGTTGAAATTATAAACCAATTATGAATCAATTGTACATCCAATTGCACATTAAATAAAAGAAAAATGTTTTACACATTTTAGAAAAATAAACAAAGAAATACGCTGCGAGCAGAAACACAAGCTATTTATGCTTGTGCAATATTTATTTCCTGCTATATTACGTATATCCTTGGAAATAAAGCAGATGAATAATTTTCTTATTTGATTGAAATATTAACACTTACTTCAAGATGTAAAGTCCATTCGTGGGCGTTACGATGCGAAGTGTGTGTCTCACTCATTAAAAAAGAAATGTTTACGTACACTTGTATCTAAAGATGTTTATTAACTTTAATGAACGTTTGTTCTTTATGGTATATACGTAATAAAACGCGTTATTACATGGATAAAGATAGTATTGTTAGGCGTTATAGACCCAGTCGGGGTTGATCATATGACAAATAGCGTCGAGATCTATTCTATACTACATGAAGAGATGCAGACAACTGTAACAATTGAATTGAAGTTAGCATAAGTAAATTAATTTATTAATTAGTAAGAAAGTTAGCATAAGTAAATTAATAAATTAATTTACTTATGCTAACTTTCTTACTAATTTCATCTAATGATAACCGTAAGTTAACCGACTTCTCGTGTCTATTTGCGTTATAGCTAAAAATCAAAATCAAACAGTATCTAAAATAATTCGGTATCTTTCTATATTTGAAAGAACACGGAATCATATTAACCCTGATGAAAATAAAAATCAGAGTTAAGGGGATCCTGAAGTCGTCTGTATTACCGACTAAATCATATAATTTTTGTACAACAAATACTTTTTTCTCCTTCATAGATTCGAAAATCCTTTTCCAGGATTAAAGTATACGCATTAATACGTGTTTGTAAGGTGAAGTTAATGCCGAGAGAGAGAACGACCAAAAATTTCGAAATTGATATATTTTTTACCATTTCTTAGTGTAACATGGTGTCTCAAGCTGTCAAGTTGTGACAACATTTGTTTGATACGAAAGTTTTGCAACCTGCACTTACGAAACTTCTAGGAGGCGAAAATTGAAACATCAAAATGTAAAAGAAACGTAAAGAATAATTCTTTTACATTTCATTGTTCCAATTTTCGCCTTTTAGAAGTTTACGCTTCTGTTACTCTCCTATTACGTCTGATTTACTCTCCGATTTTTATTTTCAGGGAAGTAACAATAATTTTAGACTTTTATTTTTAATTTTGATGTACATTAAAATTTTCTAAATTATTAATTATCACGAGCGATCCGCGCAGCGCATCTATGGACCAATTTACTTAAAGAGCGAAAGCACCACGCCCGTCTGTTCATATTTTCCGTAAAAAGCGACGGCGGGTCACGGCGTGGGTAGAAAACCAGACGGCGTGCGGCTTCTTGGGTTGGACTTCAATGCGCCGTATTTGGCGAATGCGTCGAAATCTGTAGGCGAACCGGTAACCGATTGAACGCGTCATCCGTGTACTGTGAGCGAATGTTTCTGTATGTGTCATTTGAGCTGACACTATAAACGTTACTGTTATCATTTTTTTTTTCATATTTTTCAAAATAATGGAACTTTCGCCGATCTTAACCTCACTAATTTATTTATGAACTCTGGATGATTCTTAATTGTATACAACAAGAGTAGTAAATGTACTTAATCTTTAGGACGGGAGAGCTATTATAATGGCGTTGAAATAGTATCATATTTTGTGACAAGAAGTAATGAATTATAACAAATTCTACTCAGAAAAAATTATAAGGTTTTAAAAATAAATCCCCCTTAGAGATTAAAGCTGGATTAACATTATTTTAAATTTTTTACGCAATCAAAATTGCAAATCTAAATCATAGTGCTTCATCACTTTACAGCTTAAAATCGCAAGATGCCTTAAAGATGTATCTGAGCTATTCCAAAAATAGTACCAAATTGATGAAACTTCGGGAAATTCTTCCTTTGTTATCTGTAATATACTAAAAAAATTTCAAGTAGATTCACTAAACCGTTAGAGAGTAATTATTATTTTAATTATGATGATTATTAATACTAGTGCTGGCCAATTAATAACGTATTTTAAGTATTAAAAATATTATTAATAGTATTTTTAATACTGTGTGTGTGTGTGTGTGTGAAAATAAGTGATTAATTGGCTAGTACTAGTATTAAAGTTCTATAAGAGACGTTTTCTTACGGAAACGCAACTTTGTCGAATGTAATTAGTAATAAAAGTATTGAAGTACCAAAAATTTAATTTGTTTTATATGTATAGATCCTAAATTACTGGAATTTTTTGCAAAATTAGATTCATTTTCACAACGGGGTTTCAGAGAAATTATTATTCATAACAATTTTGCGGTATGTATGTATGTATGGCTCAATATGGCATATTCTGCCATTTTCTGCCATAATAATATATTTATATTGTTTAAATAATGCATATTTAGCTTTTTTAACCATATTCCAGTTACTTTTTCCGTTTTGCACCGGTAAATAATGTTTTGTTATGGAAAGTTGAAAAATGACAAATAAAGTTAATAAAATATTGAAAAAGTGAAAAATAACTTTTTAAAAATAAATATATTGTATTATCTATTATTAATATAAGTTATCACTAGATTTGTTATACGTTTGGCGCAGTTATGCAAATATTTCGAATTTGGGGGACTTTTGTCAATGATTGTATCTCAGATACATCCTTAAAGCCATTTTTGATCCTTTCCAAATTATTCTTGACCTTTCTGGGACCGCACGAAGTCGTACGCATATGTGTGATTATTCATTCTTTGTAGCCTGGAAACACGTATTAGTCCACTTACGTTTTTTCATCGAGAAGGACGCGATCGAATTCCAGATAATGGCTCGCGGCAGAATACCTTAACCAGCGACTGATTTCGCGAAATATCGGCTCGCGGGTTGCGTGCTCCGCGTATCGA